GTTCAGGCTTCCCACTGTTTGTTTACCATTCATCAGATCCAGGATGAAGCAGAGTTTATCGGGCGTATGGAAGGCATAGGTCATACAGACAATGAAAGGACAATCCTAGAGTGGAAAAACAAAAGTTTACAAGAAAAGCAAGAGCCCTCCTGGGCAGCACTTTTTCCACTGAGCACCGCCTAGAGTTTTCTTTCCACACCCAGCCCTGAGCCTCAGCGCTGAGTGCAGACTTGCCCGGTGACTTGACCAGTCAGGCTAAATGGGTCAGGTTATGTGGTAACGTTGAGAGATGCAGCATTAATACCTGGAACAGATGAACTCAGAGGTCTTCCCCGCTGAGATTCAATCAGCCACATTTTTTGAAATTCAGTCATTCATTCACACAGAACAGGTCAGAGGTACAGAGGCTGTGAGAGAATTCACCAGAGTGGGGAGCAGAACAGGCAGATCGAGGAAGTCCACTGCTGAAGGGAGCAGCAGGCGGGTCAGGAGAGGTCTGCCGGGCCACGTGGGTCAGTCCCGGGCCAGGGATCAAACTAGCACTGAAGCAGCCCAAGGCCAGCTTTGCAGTGCTGTGCTCCAACCTGCTGCGCCACCAGGGAGGGCCTGGGTCAGATACAATTTCTAAAAATTCAGATTCTACAGAAAATTTACTGCCTTGCTAGTCTTTTTGTTGTTGTTGTTGGTCTACATTTTGGTTCTGATTTGTCAAATATCTATTTCAAACTCTGGTCCTGGAGGTGAAAGAACCATATTACTAGGGGAGATGTCATCTGTATTACTGCTTTGAACTAAGAATACAGTTAGCCTTTGAACGTGGGAATATACACCATGATCAGGGATTAAATGAGTGTATTTAACCTTGAAAATGTCAAGTTTCCCTATGGTAAGCTATAGCTTCCATGCAGTCTTAATTAAGATGAAAATGGACAAGCTGACTCTAAAATGTATAGGGCATATAAACAGCCAAAAAAGCTTCAGATACCCTGGAAAGAAAGCAAAGCTGGAAAGCTTAAAGTGCCAGACACTGACTTACAAAGCAGGCCCCATGGTGTAATGGTTAGTACTCTGGACTTTGACTTAGAAAGCAACAGTAATTCAGATAGGGTATTACCTCAGAGACAGCAAAGAGATATTGGAACAAGAATCCTGATACAGATCCACACACAAGTAGCCATTTGATTTGTGACAGACACACCCAAAGCAGGGATAAAGGATGATACCTGTGACAAGCAGTGGGACTCCGATACAAAAAATTATGAAACTGACCTTTACCTCACATCACAGACTACAGTCAACTCCAGGTAGATATAGATTTAAATATGAAAGGTAGAGTGTTGGGAGAAAAAAAGAGAGACTATCTTCATGATCTCTAGGGTAATTAAAAATTTCTTACACAGGTCACAAAATACACTAACAACACAAATATTGATAAACTAGGACAGGAGAAAAGTACTTGCAATTCACAAACACATGCTGAACTCATATTAGAGCTCGAACAATTCAATGTAGAAAAAGGCAAATAATCCAAAATGGCCAGAAAATAAGAAGGATAATTAAGTGGAACACTTCACATAAGATGAGCCAACCGGTTCACAAGCCTAGCCTATGAACAGAGATAGAAATTAAAATCACAAGTGCCATTACTAAAATGTACAGGAATGGTTAAAATTTAAAAGACTGAAAAAAACAGAAGTTGGAAAGGTCTGGTGTAAATAGGACTTTCATACATGGCACAACCACTTCCACAAGCTGGCAGGTCCTGCTGACCCCACAGCCCAGCTTTTCCACTCCGGGATTCAAACTTACAGCAATCTGCACTTACATGCCCCAAGAGGACTCGTGAGGATGTTCCCCATAGCACGAATTAAACAGCCCAAACCAGAAAATAAGCCAAATTTCTATCAAGAGTAGAAAGAGACCATAACTGTTTACACATGGAATGCCACAGAGGAGGGGCCCGCAGGTCCTCTCTACAAAGGTCTTCACAGTGAATATTTTAGGCTCTCAGGCCCCATACAGTCTCTTTCATGCGTCTCCTTTGTTTATTTTCTTTACAACCTCTTACAAGTAGCTCAGCCATTCTTAGTGCATGGCTGCACACAGGAAGATCACAGGCCAGCCTAAGACATGGGCCTTCTGTAGCCTAGGACTTGTGTTCAGTTCAGAACCACCTGGCGCCGTGTGCAAACCCAGAGGTGAGTGTACAAGCAACCCTGGACGAGAGAGACACACAGCAGCAGGCAAAGGGAACAGGGTTCAAGCACAGGCACAGCTACACCGCGGTGTAGAAATCTGGATGACGCCAGGAGGCTTCTGGGACACCAGCACATTGCTCCCTTTTGATCCGGGCCCTGGATTCCTGCATGTGTTCCCTCATGAAAACTCACCAGTGCTATGCTAATCTACAACCAGGTCTAATTCGAGGCTTTTTATCAGTGTGCACTTTGCCACTGAACTGATTCTAATAAAAAGAAATAAATGGCATGGAACATACAATTATGCTTTCTTAACAGAAATAAAGAATTACTAAATTTGGCAGAAAATATTCAAGTTTTGACAGAAAAACTTGTCAACAGAATTCACACTGTTTAAACTTCTATTATTAAAGGCTTACAGATAAATTTGAGTTCAACACATTCCTACATATTAACGATTCATGAATTTGAACTCAATTTCCATAAATCTTCCAGAGGAAATTATTCCAGAATGAACTACAAAGTTCCTTCTGTGGTTACCTTAGACTCCTGCTGACATGGTACTAGTCGAGACTGCAAGATCTATTATAACAGCACTATCCTTTGTCTATTAAACGCTACTATTTGGCCTTCCTGGGTGGCACAACCACTTGGTGGTTGGTGGGAGTGTCGGGTGAGGGAGGGGCGTCTTCCCGTGTGAACCCACCTGTTTCAGCAGACCTTTCCAGATGCCTTGGCCAATTCTGGTCTAAATGCCATGTCCTTCCTTAACAGGGGTGCCCACATTACACTGGCTCCTGACCTGAGGAATAACTCACCTGGAGAACAGAGAACCCAGTGGTCCACAAACTTAATTGAAGCAAGGTCTTTCTCAGTTTGGACAGCAGCTCTGCTCCCCTCCCCAAGGGGACAAACAGACCCTTCCAGGGGGTGTTTCTGAGTGGGATGGCGTACGGCCCTTCTAGTGACGACCCCACAATAAAGACAGATAATTTAATACTCAGGAAGTCGACACATAAAATGTAGCCCTAGAAATATTAGCCATCTGAGTATGGAGAACCCTGAAAAAGAAAATCACTACTTTTCATCAAGAAAATGAAAACCCAAACCCCAGAGAGACACCACCTCACACCTGTGAGAACGGCCAACCTCAAGAAGACCCCAAACAAGTGTTAGTGAGGATGTGGAGAGAAAAGAACCCTTGCCCACTGTTGGTGGGAGTGTCGGGGCTCCAGCCCCTATGGAAAACAGCAATCAGGCTCCTCAAAATGGTAAGAAAGATCCACAATGCCACTCCTAGGCAATCACCTGAAGAACGCAGACAGCAATGGCAAGGACGCAAGCGCCCTGTTTATTGTCTTGGTGTTCACCACGCCAAGCCCCTGTGGACTGTGGGGAGCAGAGCGGGGGTCTGAGCTCATGGCACTGCCCAACCCCCACACAACACAGGTGCTGTGTCACTTGCCGTCAGTTAGGAGAAAGACAGATTTTGGAAGGGTTCACCCGACTGTGGGATACAGAAACAAAAGGAAGAGTCACACAACACCAAACCCTAGAAGGGGGGAAGATGAAGTGCAAACAGGGAGAGGGGCTGGCGGACCGCGGTGGAGGACTAAGCGTGTCCTGGTGTGCTGGTGTGTCACACACACCTGAGGAGGTGTGGCCCTGTATTTTGAATCATATATAGTGTACTCAACAAATTTTACCTTAATACAAATAGTCATGAATTAAAGAAATACAAGTAGCCATCACACAATGAAAAAGACAAACACACAAAGAATCACCTGGTCCAACTTCTTCACTTTTAAAAGACAAGGAAATTAAGGCCCTCAAAGGGGAATGACTCACCCGAGGCCACAAAGAGATCTGATAGCTAGCCAAAATCCAAACCTCAGGTCCTATGACCCTCTCTTGAGCTCTAAGTTCTGCTACTTATAAAAGCAAAGTTTCTGTGGCAACGGAAAATAACAGCTCAGGTGGAGAGAGAAGATGAGGTCGTTGCACTTACGGAACTCACTGGCTGCAGGCTCTCAAGGTGCTAAGCAGATGCCTCACGCAGACTCAGTGGACTGGACACTGACCAACAGGGAGAACGGGCGGCAGCCTGGTGATGCTGAGCCCAGTGCCGAAGGTGATTCTGGCGAAGCTGGCCTGCCTGGCTTCACCACAAAGGAAAGGTAGACAAGAGCGAATGGGATTTTTCAGGTTGACGGTTAAATAAAGTTCCTCAGCAAGGGCCTGTCTTCCTTGATTTTCTATTGGCAGTGAGCAAGACTGCTCGCAAGTAAACTCCCAGAATGGCGTTAAAATGGTGCACGGAGGCTTTCTTTAAGAAAAGCCTGTGAGCACAGCCAGGGCAACCTTCTCAAACTGCGAGGCTGCACGTGTTATCTCCCTGCGTCCAGTGTTTGGTCCCCGACAGCTGCAAGCCTTTTCTCTGAATCCTCAACACCGGCCCAGAGGCCTGGTCTGGCCTCCACCTGCCTCACTCCCTCCAGCCTCCTCCTGTGCCACTTTACACCAATCTGCCAGGCCCAGAGGTTCCGGCCACCCCGAGTCCTGGTGTGCACGGGACTCAGACACGCCGGCACCCCCAGAACAGAGGCCTCCCTGCACCCCCTCCACCCCCCCCACACACACACAGCAGGTGCCTTCCAAGCACGCCTGCCCGCCTCGCTCCACTCTCCACACACGTGCAGACCACACACACAGTTCTGGGACTGTCTGCATCAACACCACCTCCTCCCACTCTACTCAGGTCTCACACTAAGCAAGGCACAGTCAAGCTCTGCCGCCCCCCCTGTGGCAGAGTGCCTGGCACCATCTGGACACCCCAGTCTGCTTCAAGGATGAAGGGCTGAACACAAACGGCCCCGCTCACGGCAGAGCTCGCTGTCTCCCAGCTGTGCGCACACGGACCTTGGCTCCCGCGCGCAGACGCCCCTTCCCCGTCCACGGGTTACAGCATAAAACTGGAAACAGTACTTCTACTGTCTCTCTGGGGGGGACTTCTATTGTCTCTCTGGGATATTGAGTTTGAGACTGGAAGGGAACAAGAATCCAGCATGAAACTGTGACTGCGCTATCTTAGGAAATCATGTTGATACAGGCCGGTCTAAAGCTTAACCTCATGAGGCCGTTTTAAACCAAAGATCAATTTTTTAAAAATCTATAATAGTCTTTGATTAGCAAAAGCAATTTCAAATAGCCATGCTATAATTCTTTCCGTTAAATTAATGTATTTGTAAGTTAAAAAAAAAAAAAAAGCACAGCTTTGATATTTGAGCAAAAATTAGGTCAAAGCAGGAGGATGACACACTCCAAACTGTCACACATTCCCTCGGTAGACCAGTGACTAGCCATAACACTCCTTGCTTGCAATCCCTCTCACCGGAGTAAAATATAAAAATGATGCATGAACACTGTACAGATGTTTCTGCAACATCCCCAGATTTTCCCCGTAGATGCTTGTGATAACAAAGATCCAATACTTTTGGGAGAACTCATTAAGAACCAGCATTTTAGTAACCACTTAAATCTGTAGCACATATACATGTCTAAATTTTAACACACAGCAATTTCCAATAGAAATGGGAAGTAAATGCCTTTCACATGGATTCCAATGCTGCGAGCAGGTTGCTCGTTTTCCATTTCAGCCAGGAATGAGTTCACACACAGGTCTGGCTCACATCTGAAATGAGGACCATCCATATGTTGGGCAGCAGAGGGACACAATTAGCAATTATAATTTCTATGTTTTTTTATTTGTTCCAGTTGAGCTAAATTATCATATTCTTTTGCTTAACTAGCAAACAGCCCCTCTAGAGTCACTTAAAATTAATGCTAGAATAATATAAACCACACCACCGTAAGTGAAGGCAGTTAAGCCAGAGTGCTGCTATGGCAACTCGGCGATGCAGGGCGCTGGGGCTCACAAGCAGGGGTGCAGGCCATTCACAGACCTTGGGCCAGGACTGCTGTCCAGGCGCTTGCTCACCGTGAGAGGAAGTTCTAGATCCACCATTGAAATCTGATTCCTGTGGGCCTGCTGGCCCAGGGGTCAGTCTCAGCACTATTACCTCTCTGTCCTGAGTTCTATCCCCAGCCATGGAGCTGATCACATGGTGCGGCAGACCTCTCCTGTCTCCCCACTGCTCCCCTCAGCAGTGGATGTCAGCCAATTTGCCTGCTCTGCTCCCTACTCTGAGAAGATTCTGGTGAATCTTCTCACCCCTCCCCCAACCCCCTCCCCATCCACCCATCTCTGGCCTGTATTCCATTCTTCTATGTAAAAACAAATACATAAATTTTAAAAAGTGGTCCCTTCACATCTTTGGGTGAAGATGACTTTACTGAGAACTCAGCTGTGCTGTAGGGGAACCTGCCCCATATCTATGTACGAACCATCCTGGCTGAGCGGTAAGGACTGACTGCTCATGTGAGCTATACAACTCAGGCTCAAGCCTCCTTCTAGACCCCACTTCCCTGGCCGCTTCCGACGCTGGCTGGCTGGCCTGCTGGTGTGCGCAGGCACTCGGGAGCCTGAGCTCTGCTCTTACCGGATGTATCTTCTCACACATCTACACAGATAAAGTAAGAGCTAAGGTTTAGAGCCTGGGTAACACCACTGACAGAAAAAGAATTCAAAATGGGAATCTATTTTCAAAGTAAAGATGGCACAGATTAAGAGTCTGTTTTCACACATGTTGAGCTAAAACACAACAGCTTGACATACACGTGAAATGTCCAGGGGGCAGAAACACAGAGTTGGAAACAGACACGGGGAAAGCCCACAGCAGGCCAGTTAGCAAGGTGAGAAAGTCGCCTTTGCCTGGGGACAGCCCCCACAGGGCCGTTCAGATTTGATTAACGAAACTCACTTCCTTTCTGTTTACTTATGAAAGCTGTGAGTTACTTTTCCTTCTCTGGGTTAGTTCCTCTCAGTCAAGCACTTAATTCTTTACTCAAAAGACTTGTTCCTGTTGATGACTCTGTGATTATTTTCTGCCAGAAGGAAGCCATCAACAGGCACTAAAGGGAGAAGTCCCGGGCACAGAATGATGGTGGCTAGCACTTCCTGCTCCCACATTAGACAGGCAAGCTTTGGATCACACACTTACACTAACTTAGTGCTGCTGCTCCTTGCTGCAAATTCTAACCCACTCCAGAACAGGCTAGCCCCAGAATTTGCCAGGGGAAAAAAGCCTGTATTTTAAATACACTGTCCTGATATAAACACACACACACACACACACACACACACACAATGCTCAAAATAGAATACTCACCCCTGTGCTCACAAGAGACAACATAATCCTTTCATTTAAGGCTAAGGTTTCTCCTTGTTTCATCTTGATCCTCTTCTTATCTAGACATTTCATTGCATACCTAGGAACAAACATTATTTAAAGATCTACTCTGAGGAAATATCTTTACCGAGTCAAACACTACACATCATAGTGGGGACTTTCCAAAGGCTGGACAGGCAGTGTTTAAACAAACCAAAATGGCACCCAATGCCATACAAAATTTCTTTTTAATTTTGCAACTATTAATGGCAAAAATCAGCACCCCATTCAAGGCAATGGAGACCCCCTATGCTGTAGTATGGGAGCACACAGGGAGCACAGTGTGGAGAGAGGCACGTAACCTAGTTGGGGAGAGCTTGAGAAACTCCACCTCAGCCAAGCGGTCAAGACTGATGTGTATGAGAAAGCAGGTGAGGAATATGCCCTGAGGTGCATGATGGTGTTTCACCATCTGGTGTTTTACTTCTGGGATCTTCTCCCCAAAACTCACAGCCCCACTCTAACCAGGAGAAAAGCATCAGACAACCCTAACTGAAAGACACTCTACAATGCACTTGGTAGGTTTGCCTCAGAGCTGCCCAGGCCATCAAAAACCAGGAAAGTCTGGAAGATCACCATAGCCTACAGGAGCTTAAGGAGACATCCTGAAAAAAAAAATGTAATGTGGGATCCGGGAGAAAAGGGTCACTGGGTGAAAACAAAATAAATCTGAGAAAAGACTTCAGTTAATAATAATGTTTCTGTGAGTTCATTTGTTGTAAGATGAGGACACTGGGTGTGGGGTTCATGGGAACTCCCTATACTATTTCTGCACCTCACCTATGAAACTAAAACTATCCTTTCCAAAATGAAAGGCTATTTTAAAAATCAAGCAATAATGAAGATATTTCCAGCATTACATGCATAGACATCCCGATTAAATAAGAGCATCAAGTAGACAACTCTTAACAAGAGCAGTGGAGTAAGTCTCGCATGTCTGCTGACCAGCACCTGTCTCAAGGGGTGTGTGTATGTATGATACTTAGCATTTTAGAAATGTGGATCTAGAAAAGGTCAAGATTTTACAGGAGTGCACAGGGTGTAAAACACTTAAAACAGAGTATAACAAAATGGGAAGGAAAAATGTTCAAGAAAATTCTATAAGATGTTACTTTATTGATCGCCTTAATCTTTATAAGTAAATCACTGTATTTGAGTAATAAAAGGAAACAGTTGACGACTTAAGATTCTCAAAAACCTGGAGCAAACTCATAAACATGGAAATATAGACGTGTTATTTGGCATATCTATTATCACAGTTTAAGGGCAGCACTATACATATTGTTAGCAAGACAACAGAAAACTGAAAGGAAAAGTTTGAGAAAGGTTTCAGGGGCTTGAAAATTCTTTATGTGACCCTAAATGCCCACCGATGGACTACATCTTGATGCTGGACACATAGTGGGGCTAGCTACTGGACTGTGCCAGACACACTCCCAACTGGTCATGACGTGTGTTACAGCCAAGCAGAGACAATGTTCAAATATGCACTTTTCTAGGAGTTCTTTATAATAAATACATTGAGGCAAATTAGCTTACCTATGGAGATCAAACATGAGGACACAGGAAGTGATGTACTCTTTAAACACTCATCCTTATAATGATGAATCCCCAAAATGCTCCATACCTCCCAAGACGGTGTTTCATAAAGCCTTCCCACCACCAAGCAGGAAGGTTCACACGTGGACCTTGACTGAGAACACCTGCGCCCACCCAGGCGGGCCCCAGGCCAGAGCTCAGTGCAGACTGGGGCCTAGGAAAGACACACGGAGGCGTGTCCTGAGCTCTGACGCTTTCTGGCTGTGACTACTGGTCAGAGTCTCCAGAGAGAAGGCCATTTACCACACAAGGGCTCCTTGGGGGAGTGAGTATAGGAAGAAACAAGTTGGTATTATTTACTTTTACAACATCACACAACGGGTACACTTTCTCAATACCTGGGCAAGCTCAGATTATGCTGTCAGGCACATTTGGGCACTATAGTAAGTGACAAGCGGAGTGCATCGCTTGGGCTCAAAAAGCCCACTGTGCGGGAACAGAGCGGGGCGGGGGATTTCATAAGGGCTTCTGTTGATGAATGCTCGCTATGGGGCAGGCAGTGTTCCAAGTCCTCTATAATGTGCTACCATACTGAACTCTTACAACAAGGTCAGCACTTGTGTTTTCCCTGCTTTATGGATGAGGATATGAAGGCTCAGAGAGAGCAGGCTGTCCAGGCCAGAAAGTGGGAGCGGACTCGGACGCCAGGCCCCACACTCTGGATGACGAGGTGAGCCTGCCACTGCGTTCATCTTGTATGGGGTCCTCCCAAAGCAAGGAGAAAAGGAATGGGCACACATTAGCCAAGATTAATTTCAGGCCCCAAATAATAAACCTCAGGTCAACCGCAGGACCCACTGGACAGCAGAAAGGCCTGTCTGGCAAAACAGCCCAGTCCCGCAAAGGAACCAAGCAGAAGCTGAGGGATGATTTGTCGGCAATGCTGGAGGGGCACAGGTTTCTGCACCAAGTGGCCCTGGTAATCCCTTCTTATACCGCATGATTTAATAAACCAAACTTCACAGACACAGGCTGCCCACTGTTCTAACGTACCTGTCGCTTAATCAAACGTGTGCGTAAGGGTCTATCAAATCCTCTATTTCCATTTTCATTTACTTTCAGAAATCTGTTCATGTAAACTGCTTCCAAATTAAAAATATTTCCCCCTACTCCACCCCAGATAATTTTCCAGAAGACCCTTACTCCTGGCTCGTGTATTCAATTGCCTCACATCAACCTCCCATAAGAAGAGTGCGTGAGTGAAGGACCCCACCACTTGCTTCCATCATAACAGAGCATCCTTTTTGCCAGCACCCAACTGCTCACCTGGAGAACCAACATTTGGAATGCCACCTCACCGCCAGCTGCTCACACAAAGTCACAGGCCCACACTACATCACTGTTTAGAAGTGATGTCCAGCAAGGTGTGTAAATATGATGCCCCATCTTCCTTACCACTGGACCCCGAACTCCTCACCCTGGCTGATCCAGGGTGACTGATGCAAGACAAAATTCCTGGTCAATTTCCCGCTTAGCCCTAAGAGTGGAGGCCCCAGGATTTTTGTTCACATAATGCTTGACAAAATGTGCCTCTTTCTTTGTTAAGCAAATTACTTCAAGAGCAAGATCATGGGCTTTTTTTACATGTCTATGTAGGGATTTTCTTTGGATGTAAACATAAAACCCTCTGAGTATTCCCAGCAAAATACAAAAGCTTACAGAAGCTTACATTTTTCCAGTGTCTGCTTTCCTGCAACCATAGACTTCACCAAATCCTCCTCGCCCAATGATCCTATGTACGCTGAAATCATTCATGGTCAACTGCGAGTTTAAAATACAAAATGAAAACACAAACTGCATTAAACTGTACTGTAAAAGATTTTTCGTCATACACAACACACACTGTTACTAAAACAACAATTCTGATACATGGGTCTGCCCCTTTCAAACAGGGTGGGCGGGACTTGCCAGAGCTTCCTTCTGCTCTGCCTCCAAAATACACCAACAGGAAGCAAGAGGGACAGGACAGACTAGCAGTCAAGTTTGATTGTGTTCTCGGTCTCATCAATCTTAGATTACAAAACAGATACCTTGGAGACCGGTGACTGTCAAGCTTGTAGCCAAAATGCAAAGCAACCTCCGCTATTCTGAGGCGGCTTCCAGTTTGTGAACAATTCAGCAATTTCAGGAGCTGTCATGATGGGAAAATACATCCACATCGGGAATGCCTGTGTTTTCATAGTAGTGAGCCATATGACCAGAAAAGCTAACAGATGCTGGCCATGTGAATTTTTTATCGATCACATCAGTGAATGGAGAAGACTCGTGCTGGGCATGTGAGCATGAAACAAGGCTGAGTGTTGGTGGAGCAGATACAGGCGCTTTATTCATAAGCACTCGCCTTCTGCCCGTAACATCGCAGTAATGCCCCCTTTCTGAGGAGCTCTAACAACGTGAGACAGTGCGAAGGCAAACAGAACCCTCCGTCCATGGACAACAGCAAATTTCTACTAGTTTACAGATCCTGGCAAGTGAAGGGTCAGATTCTTGAAGACTTGCCCCAGACAGCTCCTAAACAGCCAAGTTGGGCATTTGGCCCACAGGCTTCACAAGCAACACCCAGAGGACCTAAGGATAGCAGGTCTGCTGAAGGACACAAGCGAGAGGGAGAGCCACAGATATGCGGTGCTGAACTGTGTCACAGCCTTTGCTCCTAAGTCCTTCCAGGAAATGTGATGGAAAGGGGAAGGAGGAAAGGGAAAGGAAACTTCTCTCCCAGGGGTGCTGTGCAAGTAAAACAATGCCCCCACCACAAAAGCTCCAGTTATTAATTATTTCTTCCCGTTGCAGACCTATATGAAGGAAGAGAAGTTGTACAAAGAAATGTGCAGTTTAGAAGCAAAGTTTATGTCCTGGAATTGCAGATGTGACACCCAAAGGCAGGGCAGCAGAGGCGTGCCGGCGGAGAACGGTCTGAGCTGGAGGCTGCTTTCACTGCTCTCAAGGTAGCTCTAAAACAAGATGGAAACCTGGGGGAGTGGAAGATGTCATCATTTTTATTACATGATCACACTGTACACAAAAAATAGAAAGGGAACTTTACCAGGAAGGCAAAAGACAAGCATCTAAAACAGCTTTTCTTAAATAAATAATACATCCTAAATCCAGAATGAAAAAAGAGAATTAAAACTCAAATGGCTTGCAATCGGGAATGGGAGGAGGAATCTTTCGTACGCAGAGTTGGCAGGGCGGTGGTCCAGGCAGGCGAGACCCTGGGAGCACGCGCCACAAGTATTTTCTCATGATGTTAAACCAGAGGAAGTTTTTATTTAAAGAAAGAAAAAGATGATACTCACATGGATATTTAACTCCACGTTTTTCCACTGACAAAATCTAGTGAACTTATCACTGAAAGAGAATATAAATAATTATTTGAAAACTGAAATACCAGATCCCCTGGGTCCACAGAACAACGTGATAAGATAAACTAGAGATGTGGCTTCTCAAATGGAAGCGAGTTTTTTAAAAACTTTTTTCACAGCTCACTCTTTTTAGTGTTTGTGGCTTTACTTTATGACATCACTGAAAGACTTCAAGTGTTTCCTTTACTTGGATGTCATGACAACATTTTAACCTGAATTAGCAGTGTCCCATAGAAGAATAACATGAGCCATATGTGTAATTGAGTTTTAATTAGATTCTATTTAACCTTTAACCCTATATATCAAAAACATTTTCATGTACTCAATATAAAGTTATTAACGAGATAGTCTGTAGTCTTGTTTTAATATGAAGTCTTTAGAATCTGGTATAAATTTTGCATTTATAACACCCTCTGATTCAGACTAGTTGCATTTCAAATGCTCGACAGCCGCATGTGGTGAGTGGCTACCACACTGGTCAGGGCAGCTATGAGTAAAAGAGTCATGTTTACAAATGACTATAAGGGAATCAAGCACTGAAACAGCACATGTCATGCCAGGCCTGGGTCAGGCACTCCTCCAAACAACTGCTGGTTCCCGTTTCACAGCTGGGATGACCAAGTCCTGCTGGGTTGGAACTCCAATCATGTACTGCCCTCAGGATAGAAAGAGAGCACAGGAGAGAAACCCACAGGCTATAATCAGGTGGTACAGTAAGTCATACTGTGTGGGTATGCACCTATAATTCAACAACGATGTGTTTTGTTATCCATATAGAAAAACATGTATCCCATATCTATCTTAAAAAGACAACCTGCCTTCAAGGTTTGAAAATTTAAAATTTTTCAAAAGAAATATATTCTAGGTTGAATATTCCTTAAAAGCAAAGAATGTTCTTGGTAAATGATGACTCCTGTTTAATCCCTGACATGATCCCTCATAGAGACACAATATTCAGTTCTCTTAATAAATGGATGAATGGGGCTTTCCTGGTGGCATAAGGGTTGAGTCTCAGTTTACCACTATGGCCTAAATTCAATCCCAGCCAGGGAGCTGACCCACACGGCACAGCAAACCTCTCCAGTCTTGCCTACTACTCCCTTATGCAGTGTATTTCAGTAAATCTGCCTGTTCGGCTCTCCACTCTCTCTGGGGACTCTTCTTACCCCTGCCCCCCCACCTCTGGCCTACACCCTAGTTCTTCTACGCAAAAATTTAAAAATAAGACATTAAAAGCACAAGAAAATGAAGTTATCTATATTTGTAAAAAATGAATGAAGAAGAGAAAGGAAATAAGAAAAAAGAAGACTGGAGGGAGGAGGGAAGGTGAGAGAGGAAGTGGAAAGGAGAGAGTCCTTAGGAAATGCAATTCTGCATAATTGGCTTTGTAACAGGATACCTAAAGATATTCAAATATCTCAGTTCCCAGGAAGGTTCTCTTAATATGACTCATAGTTATCTTTAAAAAATATTTCTGGGGCCTCCCTGGTGGTACAGGGGTTACAGTCAGCACTACACAGCTACTGGCTGCCACTGTAGCCTAAATTTGATCCCTAGCCAGGGAGGTGACCCACAGATGTCTCCTGTCTGGACTGCCCCTCAGCAGTACATTTCAGTAGATCTGCCTGTTCTGCTCCCCGCTCTGTCTCTGGTGAATCCTCTCACCCCCTGCACCTCTGGCCTGTACCCTAATTCTTACATGCATAAACAAATAAATCTTTAAAACAGTAAATAAATTAAAAAATATATTTCTGAGGTTAATAGTCAAATTGGAAATCAACAGCAAAGAATTCTTTGTAAGTACAACCATCTCTTTTCAATGAATAAAAAATGTTTTATTGATCCTCTGAATATCTCTATGAGGTTGATGAAATAAAATTATATTTTGAGAGTTTCTGAGAGTCATTCCAAATAGCTTTTTCAAAGTATAGTGAGTGCAAAGGCAAACCACGCTGGGGTGTATGCACTCTGCATTTATAAATCCACGGCTGTGAAGTTCCCTTGTGCTGGACTACATTGCCCTTATGTTGGAGTCCAGAGTTTCAATAAAGGGCAGAGAACTGGAACATTTTACAAATTTGCAAACTAGCTAGGTGTGGAGGGGTGTTAACAACCAGGGAAATGTTTTCTTAGTCACAGGTCTAGGAGCATGAACTCCATGTACTCTGTCCATGTACCTGTCCCGCAAAGCCACTTTTCTGGGGAGAGGATTATTAACCTCTTCCCTGAGAAAAGAATATCCTCAAAACACATTGCATCCATTGACTATGACCCGGTATAACAAGTTCTTCTTTGGGAAGTACAGATGGTCCCTGAGTGTCCAGGTTCAGTTGAGTATCCACAGGAGCCCCTGAGTGCTTTTCTTAGTGAAGACCTAGTTAGCCAAGTGAGCACTTCTTGACAGAAAGTGAAGCAGGGCCTGGGCAATCCACGTCTTCTGATAGCCAGAGCCCTTGCAAACAGCTTAAAAGTGACCCAGAGGACAGATCAGAGGCTAAAGACACAAACATGACTGGTGCAGTATGGGTGGGTTGGGGGTAAGCTTTTTTGTGGACTATGACTTCCGAGTCTGGCTTGTGGTCCCTGAGCAGCTGGAGTTTACGGCCTGAACATAGCCCAGAAGATGAACTGCCTCCTTCAGGGATTCAGTCCCACCTGAGACAGCCATGTACTTGGCCTGGTTGGGCAGGGGGACTGGAAGGAGGGTTGGAGAAAAGGGAGAAAGGAGCCCTGTTCTGTTGAAGACATTCCCTTTCTGACTGATCACAAAGAGTTCATATAAATCAACAAAAACAAACAAATGATCCAGTCAAGAAATGGGCAGAAGAACTTAAAAGACACTTCTCCAAAGAAAAATTGCAAATGGCCAACAGGCATTTGAAAAAAAAAATGTTCAACATCCTTATAATCAAGGAAATGTAAATCAAAACCACAATGAGATACTACCTCACACCAGTGAGAATGACACATTTCAAGAAAATTAGCAACAAAAAATGTTGGTGGGGATGTGGTGAAAAAGGAACTCTGCTACATTGTTGGTGGGAGTACAAACTGGTACAACCACTATGGAAAGCTGTATGAAGATTCCTCAGACTACTAAAAATGGAGCTACCATATGACCCAGCAATTTCACTCCTAGGGATCTACCCAAAGGGCACATAAACATTAACTTAAAAGGATATGTGCACCTCTGTGTTTACTGCAGCACTACTTACAATAGGAAAAAACTGTAAACAACCCAAATGTCTCAGAGTAGATAACTGGATCAAGAAGATGTGATACATATACACAATGCAATACTACTCAGCAATCAAAAAAGATACTCTTGCCATTCGCAGCAAGAAAGATATCCCTGCCACTCTCAGCAACATGGAGCTGGAAGGGGTGACTCAGTAAAACAAGTCAGAAGGAAAAAGAAAAATATCAAATGGTTTCCCTTATAGGAGGAATGTAAGAGAACCAAATAAAACTAAGGGAAAAAGTTATATTGTCATTACAACACAAAACACAACACAACAAAGACAAACAGACAATTATAAATCAGAGATATCCTACAGGGAAGGGGAGAGAAAGGGATTGAAGGAGGGAGGGAGGAATGTGGGAGGGTTATGGTGATAAAGCCTGGCTAAGTGGGGGAGGTGGAGAGAAAACATTATTTTAAAATGAACAATAATGTAAGTAGATCTAGTAATGAATAAATTTTTAAAAAGACTTTCCCTTTCTTATCAGACTGCAATGCAGCTGCAAGCAGACAGTCTTAAATGGGAGACCTATAGAAAGCCTGGGTGGGCCTGAGGTGGGAAGGCAGCACCCTCAAAACCAAAACTAACCTCTTGGTCTGACAGTGGATTTTTTTTAAAAATTCTGACTTCAGGATGTTTTAGCATGAAATGAAACAAGAAAGAATAAAATAAATACAGACTGTATAGTGAGCGCATTCACATGAGATGGCTGTGCTTCGGGGACCCAGCGTGCAGTGTGCCAGCGGCCTCACTGACAGGTCTTGAGACAGGAACACGAACGGCTAACTCAGTGGGACAAAACACTAACTTGGAAAGTTTACTGTTGGCGAGCACTTTAAGGAACACCTGCCCCAATTTTCATTACCATCCCCACCTCTTCTCCCTCCCCCCTCCCCTCGAGCATCCCCCCAGCACCAACCCCCAGCCCCAGGGGTTGCAGAAGCAATAGATTGATCCAACTGTTGTGAAAAGTCAGACTTAGACTCCACAGCACTGGGCCTGGTTCTGAACCAACAACCCACCCATCCCCTCAGTTTGATTCAGTTGCTTTCTGGCAAATTTCTGCACCTATTCAGAGAAGTATAGTCATAAATATGAATATTAGTTTTCCAAAGTACTGATTCTACTCCAGGATAAAATTATCTTGAACTCTTGAAGATTTACAACACAACATTTTGGGTTTGTGTGTGTGTGTGAGGTTTTTTTAAAAAAATTATTTCTGTCAATGTGCAGAAAAAAGCTGCCAAGAAACAGCATTTGTTCTTAAAGGGCACTTACTGAACAGCTGCAGGCTGCTCCAGCAGGAGACACATCAGCATGTCAATTGTCTCAAAATTTGCTCAGTTTCTGGGGAAAAGTCCATTCAGTGTGAATGCAGATTCAGTTTCAAAAGTCTGACTCCACTGGTGCATTATCACAGAGTAGTACTCAGCATACTCAAAAAAAGACTGCTGGGTACCCAACAAGCTTTGAGCTGAAACTTTTAAGGCATCACTGAATTTTCTTTAAAGTGACAAACACATTTTATAACCTGAGCTATTCAAAGGAACATAATTGATACACAGTAATTGTGTGTGTGTGTGTGTGTGTGTGTGTGTGTGTGTAAAGCAAAGACATCTGCCTATATTCAGTGTTCTACTACATAAAGAATCCAGGGCTATCTTATCTTGCTTTGGGGGATATGGTTTCAAAGTTCAAACAAATGAATTAGACAAATTAGAGAGTCATGCTTGCATTAGTAAAGGTAGCCGCTTAAGTTACTTCTAATAACGAGACTGCTTAGTCTACTTAAACCTTAGTCTATTTGAAGTTGAAAAACTAAAGGTCTGAGGAACTTTAAAATACGCAAATCCTATGTTATAACATTAACTGTTAAGGCAATGGTCTAACACAAAGCCTGTCACACAATACAAAAAACACTTGCTGAATGAACAAATTAAAACATGGTTTAAGGAACAGCACGTCTTATAAAATGAGTTATTCCTACAGAGCATACCATTTTACATACAAAGTTTCATACCTTTCCATAAATTTTTGAAAAATGTTGCCTCGAAGACTTTCACAAATTTCTTCTATGTATGGCTGGAAAGAATGGAAAAGAAATTCCACACTGCATAAATAGGAAAGTATTAAGTAAAAAACACACACGTGGAGGAGCTTCCGAAGAGATGAGGTTCCTAATTAAGTGGCCCTCCTTACAATACCTTCTTAGCATTTGTCCCATTTCCACCAGCAGATCCATCACCACTCAAGGCCGTTCCTGGAGGCCAGGACAGGTCTGCCCCGGCTCCCCTCTCTGCTCTGTCTGCCGCTGCCGCGGCTCCTGCCGTCACAGCCATTTCTCAAGCGAGCAGCGCTCGCTCCACAGGCCTGAGCCCGCCACCCATGCAGTTGAGCAGGGTTCACACTTAGAAGTGCCCAGGACGTGGCTCAGGGCCCTGCTGTCACCATCTGGAAATTCTTAATAATTTCGGAACAAAGGGGCCCCACATTTTCATTGGTTTACTGGACCCTGAACATTATGTAGCATATCCTGTAAATTACTGTTAGCTAATTAGGTTACTGTTACCAGTTTAGTTATCAAAATTGATTTTTATAGACAAAAGTTAGGAAACCCATGAATAAAATCTTTTTAAATAACTGTTTCACTTAATGACTTCCTGCATCTTAGAACCATAGAACAAAAGGTAATCCTGACCTTCCTCTGACACTTAAGAAGACTGTGGCCTTGTAGGTAGGTGTGTTCCCCAGGTCTTTGAGCAAGTTCAGGGGCCCCTGGCTCACATGTGCTTTATTCTTCTCACGGAGAACAATCGCCTTCAATTTCATGCCACTTTGTACGTTACTAAATAAATGGCATAAACTTCCCTTTTCCATGTGATGAACTATAAATGTATCAAGTATTAATGTTTCACAATTCAGTCTAGGGTCAATTAAATAGTTTTATAAAGTATTTTAATACCCTACACTGAATGCTGCCAGTTTTAACATGTTTTGTGTCTTCACATATCACATTGAAAAAAAAAGGGCAGGCCAGTTCTGGGAATAACACAAGGCAAGTGACAAGACTAGGAAGTCTGCAGAAGTCACAGCAGCCAGACAAACAAAGGCAGTGAGACAACCACAGCTTTTCTGGAAGTCCTACTTCCTGCAGCAAGACAGGGACTCACAGCTAAGGCAGCCTCCAGGGCTTCACACAACTGTGGGTCTGCTGTGGGCATGCACTGGGACTGGTTACTACAACCAAGTGGACTTTGCTCCTGCCTTGGTAGCAGGGAAGTTCACCTAGCTCGGGAAAACTCTTTCCAGCACTCAACTCTTAAGAGTCCATGATGACATACAATCTCTACCTAAACCCAGTCCTCTAGATGCAAAAGACCAAGGATCATAAGTCTCAAGAAGTTCAAAAAGGTGAAAAGATCAAGACTGGTCCAAAGATAGAACAGATCATGAGGTCCAAGATATATGAAAAGACTAAATTTGTCACATAGAATTTCCATTTTCAAAATTATGTAGATTCATAGTTTTATATTTTATTAAGTAGTTCATACTTTTTGCTAATAAAAGATAAAGGTCAGTAGGAATTCTTAAAACAAACTAGGATAAACCACATCACAACTCAACAGAATCACAAAATACGCCAGGTAAGCAGTGCAAAAGTCAAGGTCCCACAGTGGAGCTGTAGCCAGTGCTGAAGCCAAAGAGTGTTATAGGTGGTGCCCCTGGAGGGGGTCCTGGTGAGGATAGAGCGCCCCAGGGAAAATACTGATGAAGTTCTGCATTTTGGAGTGGAGACTCTGATAAAAATATATGTAAGGGATGGCAGAAGCAGCACCCAGCATTCAGTGTTTGGGATTCAGCATTTTCAAAACCTCAGCGATTCTGGGATCAGCAGTTTTGGCCCCTCGCCATGTTGATCTTCCAGAGGGCTGTTGTGCATCTCTGAAGAACCTTGAGAGGCTTCTAGCAGCCAGCCTCAAAGAGGAAAAGTTCGAAGGCTATGCAATCAGCTGAGCAACTGAAACTGTTCCAGGCTTTGCTGCTGTTGCAGCCTGGCTGGGAAAGCAAAGACCCAGAGCCGGCGCCTCACTGAGCTGTGAGTGTGGCTGTTTGCAGCTGCTGTTTGAGTGTTTCTCAGCTGGTGCTGTGCTAGGGCATCTCAGCAGCTCCGGGGAGCAACTGCAGTTTGTTTTTTGTTGTCTTCATGAGTAAGAACATGGCCAGGAGTCTGGCTGTTGCATGCTACAGGTCTTCAGTGGTAAGATGCCATCTTAGATACTCTGTGTTTAGGAATTAAAAACACTAGACCCTGCTTTGAGTGAGATAAATTTTGGTCTCAATAACTTTTTCCCTGGTTTATTAAATAAATCCCATTATTGTTGTTCTCTGAACCTGAATAGTCTTGCAACTGTGCATGTAGATTAAAAAAAAAGCTCAGTTCCCAATAAACTATTTGGTCAGTTTTAGTGCCCCCTTGCTGTCCTGTATCAGAATCACGAGCAAACTACTTCACCTTTCTGATGCTTAGTCCCTTAATCTGTAAAATGGAATAGTCACATTTAATTTTAAGTCATGTATTGATAAAGAGTTAATAATGAAAATTTTATAAGGAACAGAACTCAATAGCAAAAATAAATAAGTACTCTGATTGTAAAGTGACAAAGGCGCCCATAGCATGGCGAAACAGAGTGGCAGAAATCAACCACTCTCCTGAAAACAAATATAAAACAATGAGCTCCTGGCAAAACCCAGACTCTTTGAGCCAGTTGTACAACACCAGGACCTCCCCAGAGAGATCAAAGGCTGGAGAACAGTTCTGTTTTCTGCAGGCACCTGGCTGCATTGAAAATGGCATCCACCTCGCCGCTGCAGACAACTCACAGCAGTTTGGACCCCAGGCCTCAGCAATCAGTGTCCTACTGCGCACCAGAGACCCTCAGGGCCCCAGAAGGGCCCTAGCAGTTCAACCCAGAAATCGATCCCACAGAGCCTGCAGGCACCTCCCAGCAGAGCAGGCCCCAGCTAGGGCCTGGCAGGGCAGTGCTCCATATTGGGAACTCTTGCCTAACCCAGGCTGAGGCTTTGAATCCCACTCCGCATGAGCTGGGCAGGCTGGAGCTCCTGGGGACAATGACTGCTCTCATCAGCATCTGCTACAGCAGACGTGCGCCCAGATAGGGGCTGCAGGAACCTCCGCCCTCCAACCCCAGTAGCCCCCGACATCCTTGCAGGAGCTCCCAGAATTCTGCCTGCTATTAATAGAGATCCAGTTGATATAAGCTGAGGGGAACCCACCCCTCCTTCTGCCCACCAGCCACAGAGTTCAAGACACCAGGTAGATGCATCCTGTAGGATAAATGAAGTCACCAGGATTTTTCTGCACTCCCACCATTAGCATCTATCATCGACACCTGTGGTCTTACATGCATGCCTGATGGTGGTACCTGGAGTGTGTGTGGACATGGGTGAGTGGGTGCACCTGAGCCAAGAGACTGAGCATGTAAGGGCAGCAGCAGAGGACAGGAGGCAAGAGGACGGTGCAGCAGATGCAGCAGAGACCAGTGAAGAGGCCACAGGAAAATGCCAGAGGTCTCAGAAAGAGTAAAGATTCACCTTGCCCCCGAAACCACCTGCCTGCCTTGTACCTGGATGCCTCACTACAAAAAGAGTAGAAAGACAATTAAAGGTCTGAAGATGCCATCGTGGGCCCCAGCACTCTCCTTTACCCATCTGCCTGCATCCATAGAGAAGCTGCACTGAACCTAGCTGGCACTACATGTCCACATGCTAGAAAGAGGGCCCAGAAGGCACGCCCAAAGGCAGGAATGGTACAGTTGCCCTAACAAACCCAAAAGCAAAAAAAAAAAAAAAAAACTACAAATATTCAAGCAAGCCCTCCTAGTAACAATGCAACATGAAAAAAAGTCAGCCTCCAGAACCCAACACTGACACAGAGGACTTCCTCTGACAGATAAGGAATTCAGAATCACTATATTACACAGCTTAAAGATATGAGAGAAAATGCAGAGAAGGAAAAGAATGAGATGAGAAATATAATCAATGAGCAGACGAATGAAATTGAATCTTTAAAAAAGGACATAAAGGAAATGCAGGATGTTAAAAAAGATTAACAGAGGAGTAAAAAAAATTTCTGGAAAAAGTTATGGAAATAGAGTGGATATAATGGAAGGCCAAATCAGTACTCTTGAAGATAGTTACAAAAATAGTGGACTAAAGCACTAAACAAACATTTTTCAAAACATGGCATACAGATATATGAAAAGGTATTCAACATCATGAATTATAAGGAAAAATGTGACTTAAAATCCCCCTTGCATACCTCTGTGGGAATATAAACTGGTATAGAAAATATCATAACTACACCTCAAAAATTTTAAAACAAAATCACCCTATGATCCAGCAATCCTGTTTCTGGGTATACGTCCAAAGGAAATGAAATCAGTACCTCAAAGAGATATCTGCAGCCCTATGTTCGTTCAAACACTATTCACTGCTGCCAAGATACAGAAACAACTTGAGTGTCCCACAATGCGTGATGGATAAAGAAAGTGTGGGATAGATGAATGGATGGAGACACACACCTATACACACAGACACAAATGTAAAGGGGTGTGTGTGTGTGTATATGTGCACTGTATTACACACAATGGGATCTTTTTCAACCTCCAAAAAGAAAGAAATCCTGCTATTTGTGACAAATCGAAGAACCTGGAGAAATCATGTTAAATGATATAAGCCAGATGCAAAAAGACAAAAACTGCATCTCATTTCTATGTGGAGTCTAAAAAAGTCAATGTTCTATCTATCATTTGCTCAACAGAATAATCAGGTTTATTTTGCATGTAATAAATGAATCCTCTTGTAAGGCACTAAAGTAAAACTCAATTTACCCCCCTGCACATAACTGAGTAATCCAAGAAAAGGTAAGTTATTTATTTTAATTTATGAAAATCATCATAGTTTTTGACATTCTCATAGTTTGTATAATTCTTCAAAATATAAGGACATTATCCATGTGAAAATTTGGCCATGGTCTCTGCAAGCTGCCACCTCTGTAGAAAACACACAGGATGGGAAAGGTTTTAGGGAGGAGAAACCAAGAGCAGCAAATATGGAGGTCCTCTAGTCAGGAGCTTGATTTTCCAAGTTTTATAATGTAAATTTGCATGATTGTGGTATATTCAAGACATGATGAATCAAGATAAAAAATCCAGTTCCTCAGTCATGACATGAAATGATCAGGTCATTTCAACAAGGTCATTCAAACATTCACTCTTGACTATTGGAATTGAATCTGTTTCACTTGGAGAATAACCAGAGACCATCAATATCTACCATGACTAAAATAAGTCTTGTGAAGCCCCTGCTCGTCACAGGTACCTGAAATGTCAAATGGGAAAGTGCTTTTTCCTCCAAATCTTGACTTAACTGATTCATAGAAAATATTATTATTAGAAAGCTCCAATGACCTTATTCAAGAAAGTCTTTACAAAGGATGTTGATGTAAGAGCACATTTTAATGAAACCACAAGCAGTCTTAATCTTAAATTGTTCTAGAAAAGCGTATTTACACAAAGAAAGTGTCACTGGTCCAACTGGTAAGCAAATTACATATACTTATTTTGAAATAATTTTGTCTTACCTGGAAAAGAGTTGATGTCACTTGTTTCTTGGACAGGTGACTTTGCACGTGTTCTACAGCTTTCTTTGAGAACGGCTTATAAAAGAATCAGAAAGTTATTTTTCCATAAATATGAAATGTCACAGCTTTCACCCCTTACACAGCATCATGACACATTGCCAAACACTAGTGCACGACGGTCACCTGCAGCAAGTATGTATCGTTACAGAATCTGTGGAGGAGGCTGTTGAGCACAGGGCCTGCGTTGCTGTATCTGACCCTGCAAGGTTTGAGATTGCTGTCTTTTAAAAAGCATAGAGAGTCCTACTGTCATCTTATTAAATGTGCATGCCCCTTATGATAATGGCGTCTTAAAAATGTAAAATTTCTACTACATCAGAGAAATAGGCCTAAGAGCTAACTGCCAGGATCACAAAGCTCAGCCACTGCATTCAAAGGCTGCAGGTGAAAGGACAGTCCTGCAGAGGGAAGCAGCAGCGGGACGCTGGTCCTAAAAGGATGGCACTTACACTGCTAAGTCACAAATGCCACCCTCCCCCAACACTTCAACTGCATCTTCTTTAGTAGAGCACAATTAGAAGAAAGGCTTATATACAGCCGGCTGCCAAGAACTCTGTAAACTGCTGAGCTACATGAAAACTAAGTTTGCAGAAGCTTTCCCATTAAACATCTGGCATTTTCCAAGGGTCAGTCGTTCCCCAGCACAGCACAGAGCACCCACAGCTAGCCCCGGCTCAGAAGTTCTTTTTAACAGTTAGGTGAGTCCAAAGAATTATAAAGTAAGGTATGTTACCAGCATGCCATCTTCAGCAAGTCACTCAAATGTCAGTAAAAACTGTTCACCACACCATACATACTAAAGCACTACTATATATGGTGAACAGAGCAGTCCAAACGGACTTTCTGTGATGGCAGAAATGTGCTTCTGTGCTGCTGAGCAGAAGTCACTAGGCACTTGTGGCTGTTGGGCATTTGAAAGGTGGCTCACGAGGAACTGAGGAATTAATTTTTAACTCCACTTGATTTTAATTAAGTTTAAATTTAAATAGCCACATGTAGCTAATGGCTACTGCACTGAACACAGCAGGCCAGGGCTGTTAGGCCACTTCTTTGGAAGAGCCCTTTGAGTAAGTCAAAGACATTACACAGTAAAATTTTTTCACTATTTATCCCACTCATTTCTGGTGAAATAAATTCGTAATGATTGGTTTAGATTGCCTATCTGATGCACAAGGAAAAAACTGCTTCAATCATTACTTAACATGTGAACAAAATTAACATGATAATTATAACCTTTCTTATTAATGAAAACCATTTAAGATTTACACTTACCAATGTTTGATAAGCCTAATTGTTAAATATAGCTAAATTAAAAATAATCAAGCCTAATTTCCTCCAGAAAGCCTAGAATTGAAAGCAGTCTTTGCTGCCATTGAGCTGAATTAGCTATTTGGTCCATCAATTTTTGCAGTACTATTTCCTTTGGAAATATACGAAGTGCATGCGAAGCAACAAATGTTGGATCAGTGTTATCAGCAATCTCTTGACAAAAGAAATGGATTCCCCCATGGATGAATACTGCTTTATTTTTCAACATCTTTCTTTCACTGTGCCTTAATCCTGAAGACAATGGAATCTGTCTCTTATTTATTCATCATAAAGTAATAGGGTAAAGTAACAGAACAAATACACACTTACATGAGAACAAGACAGCAGCTCTTTCATGATATAGGTATCGTATATTTGTCGACTTCGACAAAGGCGATCTTCCTCATTCTCAAGTTTTTCATATTCTTTTATCTAGGTTTTAAAAAGTTAACAATATTGGATTTATCTTTCTAGAAACTGAACTTTATTAAAAGATATTATTTGCCCAGGCAAAAACCACTTCCACATGAGATCAAGCAAAGTACTGAACTGGCTATTCCACAGCAAACAACTGCTTCTAATGTTGTAATAATGAAGTTGGAATAAACTGAAATTCAACTTGAAACATACAAATGGATTCTTTCCTATGATGAACCTTATTTCTTAAATTTAGAAACACAATACTAGGAAATAAATACTGCTATGGTTACAATTATCTTATAATATATCAGCCATGGATCACTCATCCTTGCCAATTCTCCTCTCCAAAGCACAAATAATTCAAATTTGGCTGTAATTCAGTTCTGAAAGTTATAATGGGAATTGTTCCCAGTCAACAAGAGTGTCACAAAACTAACAGGAAAAAAATTGCCAGGTTTCCTGCAAAGAAAATTTTAAAAGTCCATTAAACATTTTGGAACGACATTAATCCACAGATAAAAGTGCTGGTTTTAAGGCTTAGAACCTCAATTACACTAAAAGATTACTTCAAGTCATGTCACTTGCTAACTTAGAGAAGGTAATCTGACTAATGTTAAGAGAGGCCGAATAATACAACCTGCTAGTACTGTATGTGCAAATTGCCCCAATCATTCTACACTAGTATCAGAAGCTTTAGTGTCAAACTAGTATTTTTATTTATTTGAAGAAATATTTTTTAACTCTGAAGGGGCATGGTCCCTATGCCTCCAAACCATGTATAGTGTTGTGGTCCAATGTTACCTCAGTAAAAATTATTTAAAAAATAAAGAAAATGAAACACAAACAAAATATGGGGCTAGCAAGAAAACTGTAGCAGAAATCAATCATAACTGTAATGACTAAGTGCTATCTGTGACTTATCTTCAGGAAAAAAATATATTCCCAACAGGTAGCCATTAGTTATACTGATATTCATATTATCTGCTTACTCTATTCTGCTGTGATTAAAGGAGGGTTAAGTACTCCTGTGGGAGAACATAAGGTAAACAGGAATAAAAATTACCTTTTACTTTGTAGCCTAAGTTTGACAGTTCTGGGATCAAATGCCATTAGAATGCTACTAGAATCTCATATAGCAAGAGCACACTGGATAGCTTATATGAAATACTGCGACCCCATGTGAGGCTTAGGTGATTCAAACACTAAGGATTACTGGGATCATCTTGATGGCCCTGAAATATTACCAGTGCTACATTGAGATGAAATTCACATGAATCCTCTTAGCTTCTTCTTGGAACATAACAGAAACAGGCAGTCTGGGATAGTTTGATACCCCATCCAAAAGGAAAAGGTCGCTGGAATGAAGTCAGTCCAGCCACATTATCAACAAACTTGACAGAACCATCCAAAATCAACCCGGGAGGGCAGATCTACAGAGTCCAGCACCATGGCAGATGCAAATACATGGCAGCAGGCAACAGAGCCAGGCACCGAACTCTGAGGAGTGAGAGAATAGACACAGGATTCCAGCTTGATTGATTTCTTTTGTGTTTTGGTTGGCCAGGTCCAAAGGTTAAAGCCAGAATGTTGAGGCAAAACAGACTGTGAGTGAACAGAAGGCCACTGTTTCTGCCTTAACACATTAACAAACCCAAGGAATAAAAATATCCTCATGGAGTTAGTATATTTGAAAACAATGTGTAATGAAGCACAAGTCTCTGTTCCAGGGCCAACATTAAGCAGACTGACACCTGGGTACACAAATGTTGATTGTGTGGAGTTTCCCTGAGCTGTCAGAATCTGACAACACAGAAAATTCTAGTTTCTTAGGCAAATGACATTGTGAGCCACAATACTGGCTTTATTAAGAGCCTCACAATTCTATCTTGTGCCTCACAAACTCTACCTTGAACAAGAAAAGCAGAAACTTAGTTGACAAAGGAAGAACTTACGTATCTATGGCTATAATTCAAATTTCACCTTCTATTATCAGTGAGGCCACTAATTAAAGACATGTTGTCAACTATGAATTAGCTGTAAACAGTATGTGCTTTGCAGCATACACGCAGTAAATGCTACCTCTAACTTTGGCAGTTAGGTTGTCCAGGTAACCTCAGCAGGTAGATGGACAGCAGCAGAACAGAAGCAATATCAATGATAAACATTCACTCATCATGAATTCCCATTCTGTCTTGGAAGTCATAAAGCCCACAAATGAACATGTAGCCTAAATAATTCAAGTGCAAAAAGTAAGCAATTTGGTCCACTGCTGATGTGGTCTTCACTTTGTCACCTCTTTCCTATTCCTCTATCATTCTAGATAAACGTTCTAGTCAAGGCACTAATGGTCTCTGCCTCACTAAATTAAGAGTCTCTCTTTTGTCCTTTAGTTTCAGATTCCTCAACAGCATTCAGATCAGTAGTTTACTCCTACCTTCTCCAGAACTTTCTTCTCTGATGTCTGTTATCTGTTGTCTCCACTAACAGGAGCTTGCCACACTGACTCCTCCTCCTCAGTTTCCTCTTCCACTAGATGTCTAGATATTTTTGTGCCTCAGAGCACAGTGCAGCTCAGTTACTCAGTCCCACAGTTTTAAAGACCAATTATATTCTGATGACCTAAATCTGGATCTCTAAGACTCACTTGTCCCCAGCTCCAGATTCTAAATATCCAACTACCTACTTGAGAGTTCCACACCTACTCTACCCCAGTCAAACATGCTCTTCTCCTGTTCTGCTTTCCCACAGAAGTGAGTAAAATCATTCTTCCCATTGCTTAAGCCAAAAATGAACAGTCATTGCTATTACCATTTTGTTCATACCTGTGCCTGCCAACAACTCATCAATCATGTTTACTTTACATTAATAAAGACATACCACAAACACAGGGTCTGCTTCAAGTAACAGCCAGCTAATTCCTAAAAGCTAACTGTGCCCAAGAACATGACCACAAATTCTTCATCTACATAAAACACAGCTGCACTGGAGCGGAGCACTACAGAGTGATCAAGAGTGCACAGGTAAAAGGAAGGGGCATCAAAGACAAGCTGATAAGAGGGAGGGGGAGTTGAAGAAAATAAAGATCAAGAGAAGGAAAGCTTCAAAACTCAATGTATAAACTCTTGTCAAAATTGCTGACAGACCTCATCATGACAGGCGAGCAATACAGACCCAAAGTGATCCAGCTAAGATGAAGAGAAGAGAACAAGATTCAGCTGGGAGACACATGGTTCATATGCAGAACAGGCTGCCAGTGAATGCCCATCTATAACAACTGACATGTTAGAGTTATCAGGCAAAGATTTAATGAAGTCACATAACTGTATTCAAAGACATAAAAGAAAATGTGCATGTGATAAAAAGATAGCAGTATTTAAAGCACAGCACTAAGGAAAGGAAGAAAAGAGAAATATAAGAACTAAAAAAATAAATATCTAAAATAAAAAGTAAATGAATGGACATAATAGCAGGCTAGAAATATCAAAAGCCAGACTTAGTGAATAAGGAGACAGGTCCATAGAAACTATTCAATCTGAAGAACAGAAAGCAAAAAAAATATTTGGAGGATAAATTGAACAGGGCATCAGCAATATTTAAGATAATATTTTTTAAAAAAGCAAACAAAGTAACTGAACTCCCAGAAGGAAGAAAGAGAGATTGAAGTAGACAAAATATGTTAAGAAAAAAAAAAATGGCCCAATCAAGAAACTAAACAAATCCCACAAAGGAAAAACATATTACTCCACAAAAAGACACAGATTACAAAAATGAGAGGAGAGGAGCGCCCATCTCTTTTATGTTTAAACATACACATCCCTAATGGCACGGGGAGGTGCGGTGCAGCACTGTGAGGCTGTCCACCCACTGCAGCGCCAGTTCAATCCCCAGCCAGGGAGCTGACCCACATGGTACAGCAGGCCTCTCTGGTCTCACCCGCTGCCCCTCTTAGCAATGTGTTTCAGGCAATCTACCTGTTCTGTTCCCCACTCTGTCTCTGGTGAATCCTCTCATCCCCTGCAACCTGCGGTCTGTACCCGAGTTCTTGTATGCCTAAATGGATACATCTTTTAAATAAATAAAAGAAATATATTGTGGGCCCTCCCTGGTGGCACAGCGGGTTAAAGCACAGCACTAAGAAGCTTAAGCCTCTTCCCCATGAGTTCGATCCCCGCCTGCCCAGGAGGTGATCCACATGGAGCAGCAGACCTCTCCTGACCCGCCCGCTGCTTCCCTCAGCAGTGTACTTCGTCGATCTGCCTGTTCTGCTCCCCGCTCTGTCTCTGGTGAAGCCTCTCACCCTCCGCATCTCTGGCCTGTACCCCAGTTCTGTATGAATAAATAAATAAATCTTTAAAAAATATATACTGTATATATTGTTGAAAGTGCATAGGAGAGATATATCTGAAAGAAGACTAAAATGGCTACCTTAATATCTAGGGAGGTCATTTTCAAGCAGATTATTACTAACAATAGTGACACATCACATGAAAAGACATGTACCTAATAACAGAGCTTCAAAATACATCAAAAAAAAATTGATAGAATAAAAGAAATAGAAAACCTACAGTCAGAGTTGGAGATTTAACCTATATGTCAGCATTTAATAATACAACTAGATATAGCAGCAAAATGTAGTCTGTACAAAGAAACTATCTTGAGTCAATTGACATTTTGAGAAAATTTACCTAAGATTCCCATTTGAATTTTCCATGACTTTTAGAATAAAATAAAAACTTGTTTTTATTGGCCCCCATGGTCCACCAAACCCTGACTCTCTCTTCAATCTGAACTGGCCTCACTCTACCCCACCACTGTCACCCACCACCATCACCCACCATCGCCACACACCACCGCCACCCACCACACTGGACTTTCAGTTCCTCAAACACATCAAGGTCTTTCCCACACTGTCTTAATCTGCCTTCACTTCTTTATAACATGTTCTCCCCCTCATTGCTCCCAACTTCAAAAGACTAGCTTCCTTGTCATTCAAGCCTCCTTTTAAAGGTCCC